CCTAAACCAAATAAGCTAAATTATTTAACCAAACCAAACCAATTATCCAAATTAACCAAACCAAATTAACAGAATGTTACCGACTAATATGATTACCACGGTAACCAATCCGTTTGAACACCCCTACCTTTTTGTCACAGTCAATCTGAGATTGAAATCTCCTACCGTCGCCTTCTGTGTACTTCCTGTGTTTGCTTCCGTCTGGTCTGTCGATCTCTTCCATCTTCAATCCCGTCTTCCCAAATTCCCTCCGCATCATCGCCGTCGGACCCAACAACCTCACTGTCGCCCCTTATATTCCCTTTCTAGCGACTAAGTTGAACTTTCTGAACTTAACTGCTTAATCCCTTCTTCGCAAATTCCTTCGCATCGCCGCCGCCACCGGAGTTAAACCTCACTGCCGTCCCTTATATTCCCTCCCCGGCGACTGATTGACAATTTCCGCACAAGGGAAACTGATCAGCACCATATTTTCAGTAAGGAATTAATTATAACCGTAGTCCGTAAGAATTATGATCATGTTATCCTCAACTTCGTCGGTAATTTTTGTAGTGGTCCTTTGTTTATTTCCATTAAGCCCAGGAGCAATTTTTTTGGGGTTTGGGTTGCTGCAATACTTCTCTACTGTGGTTTTTGGCCATTCAAATGAGTTAACTTAATCCGGCTGCAGTATCTTTGGTTGGTTTCAACTATTTCTAGATACATGTGTGTATCCATTTGTGATTGTAAAGAAGTCGACTGCTAGCCACAACAGGGGTTGATGTATCACTAATTTTGAGTAAGACAAATAAGATCAATAAGCTGTTACTGTAGTTGAACAATCAACAAATCATGTAATTGGTCACCAGCTTTATGAGTGCCTCAACTAATAAAAGCCAAAAATTGAGATTTAATCAAGATTGAAGGAGATAAAGGGCAAATATGAAACTGGATTTGAAACTTTTTCCTAGAATATGATATAACATGTCTATTCTTACATGGTCAAATTGGCTTCGGGATCATATTGGTTTGGATCTTATTTAAATGGCTTGCTCTCATCTGTTGCAAATCGTGGAAGTTTGAACTCAAATTTTCGTTTGCAAGACTCTCATAAACATCTTTAAACTAGCTTGATCTTATTGAAATCGTTGAATTTGGTTGAATTATTTCATATTTATACTTCGGAGTAACTCCATTGAATGATTAGTGCTAGAGAAATGAAGCTGGATTTAGTGAACTTACTAATATTGATCCAATCTTGGGTTTGATTCTTCCTTTGGGTATGGAAATTGAGAATGTTTGCGCTTTTATTTTTCTAATATATTTGGGTTTGAGTATTTATTAGATAGGTTTGTATAAAGTATGAGTATTGTTTTCATATTCTAATTGGATATGAGTTTTCCATTTTACTTGAGATCGTTTTAACCACATATAAAGATTGGAACTGTTTTTTATTTTAGGAAATCATTATTATAAAAAATATTTAGTTGCTATAATATAATATTCATCAATTTTGCTTTTTATTTGCAAAAAGTTTAGTTGAAGTATTCAATTGTAAAACCCAGTAAATTTAAATATCAAACTATATATTTTGAAATGAGTATGGATAAAAAACTAAATCCATGAGCTAACTCATTCCTAACCCAAATCAGAGCATCAAGGTCTGCATTATTCAGAGTAATTGTTGATGTGTTATTCCTGTCAAATTAGAGGAAGAAAGAACACATTCCACCTAAGATCCAACAAGGTTAGCATGACACCGAAACTACATGTTAAATTTACTCAGTTCAATTTCTTGAACCCTCAAGCCGAGTATTCTGTGGTTAGCATTGATCATTGATCCGCTTCGGGTACGTGATGAATATTTCATCTGCACATCACTTTCGTTTAACTTAAGGATACCATATTAATTTCATAGTTTAAAGCTATCTTATTACTCTAATTTGATTGCAACAATTGACCGAGAGACCAAAACCTTGGAGGGACAACCTTAACCGGGTTGAAAAGGGAACATGCTGACGATTATGACCCTGAAGAGGAGTAGTAGTATTGCTGGAAACTGTGTGTAGTGTAGTTAAGAGCCAAAATGTAAAGCTTCTTATTAGTATTATGTTTTCATGTTTATTATTCTATTTTCATTCAGATTGGTATTGAAACTCTATTTTTAGAGTTTTCCCTTCTAGGTTGCCTTCTTTATTTCAATTACATTGTGAAGTGAAACACAGCGAGGGCGGCAGCCTTTTCTCATATGTTGGATAGTTTTTCTCTTATGCATTGTCTTCTTTTGTTTGTCAAGTTTGGTTCGTCACTGTCAAATCAATCACAAGGTTAAGTTAGAATGTAGCTTTGTATGTTATGAATGAAGAGCTACTCACAAGTTTTGTTGTATTTTTAGATAATACTAGGAGGCGATACCGCGCCTTGTCGCGGACGGAGATGGCCTATAGGTATTTATTATGTGCCCGTTATGGTGTATTGTTAGTATTATTAGTCTAAAATTAACTTTTCATTAGCAGTTTTGTTAGTTTTATTGATTTGACAATATGATATGGATTGAGAAGAGATATATGGCGGTCAACATCCAATTTATTTTTTTTTAAAATTTTGGCTAGTAAATGATGTTTACCTAAATCCAAGTAGACACGTTGATTATGGGCAGGGTAGGGGTGACGTATATATGGGTTTGGAAGTTCGTAGATGGAAGTTTATATTCCTTTTGCTTCTCTCTAGAGTTTTTCTTTTTCACCCGGGCTAGAGATTTCAACAAATATACATGGAATGTTTAGCTAGATATCTACACATATCAAATCATATAGTGGAAAATGACGACTTTCTAATAAGTAATAACCATATATATTTACTATTAATTGGGCTCGACATTGGGCTAAAAAAGTTAGTGGTTCATAGTTCAATTATTAGTTCTCTAGATTGTTGGTGAGTCTTGTATGGACTCGTTCATACTTGTGATTAGAATATATAAAAATAGTATACTAATTAGGGTTAGACGAAGAAGGCAAAGAAATAAATAAAGAAATGGGTATGAAAGACGGATGAAAATGAAACGAAAAGAAAGTAGATGATGGAAAGGTTTTGACCAATTCTTTTAGTTGGCCATCAATACAACAATCAACCCTTTTCACCGTAGCAATTTATAAACTCTTGCCTATTTTGTTACATGTAGTTATTAGAAGTTTGTTTAGTACCCCGTAAATGTACTAAATGAGTTTAGAAATTCGCTCTCCCAATATTTTAGAATCGTATCTCTTTTATAATTTATTTAATGTTTCACGGAATGAGCAAATATAAAATGGTCGAATCTTCTCCTACAGTTGAGTGATACAACATTTTGTATTGTACAAACTAAATTTATACTTTTATGTTATGGTGGATTGGATTCATGGATTGATTCAAAAGGATTAGTGGATTTTATTTGGTTTCATTGATTCAAGTGAAATCTAACTATTGGGCCAATATGTAAATTTAAAATATTATAGGTACGAAAATCTCATAAAAATTAGATACCAAAACATAATTGTTCAATAAGTGTATATTTAAATTAAATTTGGGATATCAAAATGTAAAATTTATATTATAGTGAATAAGTCGTGATTTAATTAAACTTAGGGTATCAAATGGTAAATTGTTAGGCAATAGTAACCTAACATCAGCTACTAAATGAGTTTATAAATTCGCTCTTGCAATTTTTAGAGTCGTATCTCTTTTATTACTTATTTAATGTTTCACGTAATGAGCAAATATAAAATGTTGAATCTTCTCCAACGGTTGAGTGATACAATATCTTGTATTGTACAAACTAAATTTATACTTTTATGTTATGGTGGATTGGATTCATGGATTGGTTCGAAAGGATTAATGGATTGGATTCATGGATTCAAGTGAAATCTAAATATTGGGCCAATATGTAAATTTAAAAAATTGTAGGTACGAAAATCTCATAAAATTAGATACAAAACATAATGGTTCAATAATTTTATATTTAAATTTAATTTGGGGTATCAAAACGTAAAATTTACATTATAGTGACTAAATTGTGATTAATTAAATTTGTTGTATCAAATGGTAAATTGTTAGGCAACAGTAACATAACTTCATCTTTATATATAAGAATATGATTTTTGTGTTGTTTTGTCTTTATTGCATGTTGATAAGTTGTCTATTTGCCGATCAATTTGAAGAATTGAACTTTTGTTTGGTTTATCATATACATGATTATTTTTAGCTTAGTATTTATTTGTTATTATTATGTTTCATCGAATTGACAACTACCATAGATGTTTTTATCAGGCGATAGTGCTCCTATATTTGGTGCTATTGGAGTTTGTTGTTCTCCACGAAATAGAATATCATAAGCTAAATATTTGGTTAAGCATAACCATTAGCTACATATTCCACTACTTAATCCTCCCTCTGTTCACCAAATAGATATGGTGAGCATCTTGAAATCTTACAAGATTCGATCTATATATGCCAGTTTGCAATGGGATTCCAACTTGCAAATTCTGCTGCCAAGCGAAAGACTGTGTTCTCAATGGAATTGGTACAAACAGGCAAGTGAATGCTAAACTCTGGCATTTTATTGCTAACGACACTATCCACATAAATCTCCAGTTTCTATGTACTCCATTTGGTGTTTTTGCTAAAATGTGCTTCTGAAAGTTTCTATGTACTCAATATATTTGAATTTGATTGTATTCATTATGTAACTAGGACTTTGAGTTTGTTTGCGGTATATGTCAGTTTGATTGTATTTCATTATCTATAATATAAAATAAAATTCGCAAACAGGTTTTGTACGATACCGGCCAACGGGCCGGGCCCCGTGCTAGTTCGTATTAGTTTATTTTGTCTTGTTAAGAAAGTTATTATTTACTTGTTGGGTTAGGATTAGTTTACCTTGTTTGAGAGGGAAATGGTATGAGAGTGGTCCTATAAATATGTACGTTGTTCTTTGGGTTTCGTCATGCAATGAATAAAAGTAAAGTAAATTATAGTAATTGATCTATTTTTATCGCGTTTCATTAGTTTTCATAGAAGAGTTCGAGTTTCACGATACGTGAGATCCGCTATCACGCATCAAGAGTTGGAACGAAAGCAAGGTGTTGGAACGAAGGGTCTGAATGACATAACAAACTAGACTGACCACTCTTTTCAGAAAAAGCAAACCGTGCAAATGTTATGATTTACACATACAATCAGGAGCAGGATAAGTGAAAATAGATTGCTTCTCCTTTCTCAGCCTAATCTGTCCCTGTCTATTTCTGTGACCGTTGAGAACTGCAGCTTCAAAGTCTGGCCATACCATGCTCTTGTTCAGGAACAATGGACCTAACAGAACCATGTTTGGTCTTATGGTCTTCAAATTCAAATAGGCTCTGTGTCCCACCTGATCATTCACGCAAAAATATTTTCGCTCTTAACATTCGAAAAACAGTTAATTTCTGGTATAAGAAGAGAGACCAGCAGCAGTACCAATGCGTTGTGCATGTTTCCAGGTGAAGCAGATATGAATATGTCGCTCTTCAAGCTGACATAATAATCAACTGCGGCTAATAGTGAAGCTCTCCCTTCAACCTTAGCCAGTTCCTCTGCCGAAGCAAGAGTCTTCTTATCTTCCATTAAAGGGAAGAACTGCTTCAAAGTAGCAATCCTTGCTTCTCCGCCATAGACCTTGAAAGAAGAAAAAAAAGATCATTTTAAGAGCGACACAGTTACTGAAGTGTTCTGCATGAGAAGATTTCTAGAAAAACCTTGTGGGATGCGAGATAGAGGCGAGTACTATTGGTGAAGCCTAAAGCTGATAGCAGTAGTCCAATCTCTTCAGGTGTCAATGACAACGCCCTTGACTCCTTAACTCATCATCTGTGAACTGAGAGTTCAACACTCTTCCCTGCCACAGCACTTGCCGGTACTTCGCCAGAGCAAGCTTTTCAGCTTTACCTCCACCGAAGTCACAGGCTGAGTGAGCAGCCATATCCTGCACGTGTAAGAGAAATCGAAGAGATCAATTACCGAGAGAGAACCCAAATTGAACAGAGATAGTTCCAGTGTTCCTAACAACTACCACCACAAACTCCAGAATTGAACTCATCAAAGCTAACCAACCAAGGAGTCGAACATTTGGAGAGGGGCTGGAAAACTTTACCTTATCAAATCGAAGATGTAGTACTACATATTTTCCCGAGCCATCATTACCAGAACCATCATTGTTTACCCTCAATTCAGATCCCAAGACTTGGTGTTTGGTCTTGCGTAGACGATTAACAATCAACTCACCTAACACTTTGACATCACGAACAAATGCTAGTGCTTCAAAGTTCACTTTACATCTCAGGCGCTGGAGGTCTATAGGCAGCTGATCAAAGGCCAACCGATGAGAAAAGGGCGCAATGGCCACTATTCCATAGCTTCCAACCAAAAAAATGTATATATAAAAAAAGAATCTCTGGAGTAAAATTATCAATCTGCTTTGACAAATAGACATGCTTCATAAGATATGTTCAATGACGGTTTCCTGAAACTAAACCACAGGGGATACCCACCCACCTCTGAAGTACAGGCAAGACATTATCTTGATACCACTGAGCAGAAGCATGGACAGGAGCTGTTTTTATTCGGGTAGGCCATATACCTGTCGCATAGTACTCTCTAGTGCTCCAAGAATACTCATTGGGTGGCTCTTTAACTATCTTGACTTCATTACTCAGAACATTGATAAAATGATCCACATCAAATATGTCGCTGAATGAACTGCCACCAAAGCAAAACTTTTCCCTCTCAATAGGTTCAAAAAATCCCAACTGATAGACACATCCAAATGGAGGTTTCAACTAATGAAAGTACCTTGAATCTAGCCAAACAGGGTTCAAATCAAGATGCGGAACAACAAGTGTTGCGTTGAGTATCTTAGCAACTGCTACTGCATCACATAACTTAAAAGACACACAACAAGAAGAATCATGAAGAGAGGAAGGAGGCCAAGAAAAACTGCACCAAATTCAAACGTTGGAACTGAATCATTTTATGATTCTCAGCTACTTACTCCCATTCTTTGCTGGTTTAACCCTCCATCTAGGAAGACTTGTATATACCCTTGTGATTTTGCAGGTAATGCTTCAAAGAACCATATTGTATGTTATAGCAAGAGCAAAGTCTATCGACCACCACCCATATGAAATAAGCGCACAACAACGCTTGGCTTCCGAAGATTGATCACTTACAAGAGACAATAGTTGGTTCATTACAAGCCTTCCATCCTTGGTCAGGCAAAGGAGCCCAAAGCCCAGACTGTTGTCTGACGGGCTACGATATCAAAAGCCAGCTACTTTCACCAAAATTGATAGAAAACCGAGCGAAGAATGCTAAATACAGAGGATGACGAAGGATGGGAAGAACGGGCACCTACTTACAATGTGACGAGTCAGAGCAGCTTTCAACAGAGGCAAGTGCCTTGGTCTCGGAGCAATCCATTCCTGCATGGCGGCAAAGAAAAACAATGAAATCGGAAACCAGGGAATGCGACAAATGAAAAGCGAAAACTGAGAATTGAAGAGGGAAAATGAAATAGGAGGGATGGATCGAAGAAAAAAGGGATTACAGAGAAGAGAGACGGCGAGGCTCTGCCGAGAGGACGGAAGAGATGAGGGAAGCAAATTGGGAGGAGAATGGCAAAAACGCCAGCGAATGCCATCCTCTGAGACTGATTCTGACGGTGGAACAGCCCTTCCTTCATCGTCGCCGCCGCCGCCGAGTGCTGGATTTTCTTGGAGTTGCTATTTTCCGATTGATTAGGCCGACTGTGGAAGTGGGAAAGAAGTGGTATTTTTCTGTCTTGTTTCAGCGCAGATCAACGGGAAATTGCTTCTCTTCTTTTTCTTTTGGCTTGTCAAATCGGTTTGTGAGGAGTTAAACAGGTGAAACAAGGACTTATATATGTTACTAGCTTGGACCCTGATTAGGGATGAGTTTTTTTTTTTTTTTTTTTTACAAATCATATCAACTTTAATTCCACATTCACGCTAAAGCTATTACAATTCTAGAGGAGAACAGAAATTAGATCAAGAATATTAATCCAGTCTTCTGGCAGAATAGATTTAGCTTTTGATCGCGCAACCCAATAAGCTCTGACGTTCAAAGCCCTCGGAACCTCTTTCACCGAAATAGCTGGGTTATTCCTCAGGATATTGACCATTGTTCTAATCCAGGCTGCGCATCTCCAGGGCCATCGAGACTGATTATGATTCAGGGCCTTCACCAGCATTTGATAGTCAGATTGAACTGTACACACCGATCCATATTCTTGTGCTAATTTAATTCCTTCCAAATGTGCCTTAGCTTCCGTTTCCATCGGGGTGGAACAAAGAAGATTTTAAGCTCTCCCATCACACACTTGTCCATGGTGGTTAACAACAACACCATATGCCGCCGACTGGGGGTCGCTAAAGAACGACCCATCACATTGAATCACAATCGAGTGCTACTTGGCGGTGGATTCGTAGTAGGATGGGATCCCCTGAGATGAGTGGGACCATCAGAACCTTGAGGTGGGGGCCTCGGGCAAGCAATCCATTCCGTAAGCTCTCTATAGGTTTGCAGACAAACGTTTGGGGGCCAGGGCATTCGATTCTTGAACGTGCACTCATTTCTTGCCTTCCAGATGTTCCAACAAAGGTAGATAATATGAATTAGGGAGTTTTGGGGATGGTATCTTTGAGGGAGCAAAACCAATCAAAGAAAGAGGTGCCCTGAGGAGGAACCGGAAGGGATGGGAAAGTGCTAGTCCAAGCATCATTGGCATGAGGGTAGTAGAAGAGGCAGTGGTTGAGGGATTCAATAGGGTTATGACACACATGGCAATTCGGATTAGGAGCACATTTGCGTTGGAATAGTCTTGCTCTCGTTGCCAACCCGTCTCTGAAACATCTCCATATAAAGAATTTAAGCTTTGGTGGGACATTCAGTCCCCAGATCCATTTCCACTTCTCTTCACTACCATTCGACTGGAAATTTGTATTGGCTTTGTGAACAGCGTGGTAGGCTGTCCTGACCGAGAACTCTCCCTCTCGGGTGAGACTCCACGCCCAGAATTCCTCAGATCCCTCCTCCCCAGTTGGGACTTTAAGAATAGCCGCCACTTCCTCTCTCGTCACATTACCTTGCAACATATCAATGTTCCAGTTCCTACTAACAGGGTCAATCCATTCCTTTACCCTCAGGTTTTGCTGGGGGCCACTTCCAATGACATAGTTTTGGAGGTTCGGAATCCATGGATCTTGACCAATCCAAGTATCCTCTCCAGAACCAATAACTCTAATTGCTCCCATGTTGATAACCTTTTTTGCCTCCCACAGACTTGCCCAAATCCAAGATGATCTACTACCTTTTTTCGATTGCATGAATCCCCCTCTCGGGAAGTACAGGCCCTTCAGGAGCCGACACCACAAGGCATCAGGGTAGTTAAGGATTCTCCACGCTTGTTTTGCTAGCAAGGCCATGTTAAAATCTTTGAAGCTTCGGAATCCCAATCCCTCTTCTGCTTTTGGTGCGCAAAGAATATCCTTCCTGCACCAATGCATTGTGCTTTTTTGCATTGACCCTGACCAGAAAAAGTTGGTTAGGAGAGAGTCCATCTTCTTTGTCAGGTTCACCGGGAGGTTAAACAGGTACATGATGTAGGAAGGGATAGCTTGAATGACAGCTTTGAGTAACACTTCTTTCCCTCCATGAGAGAGGAGGAGGCTTTTCCATGCTTCACCCATCTTCTCCATTCTCTGAATCAGGAATTGGAAAGTTTCCTTCTTTGAATTTCCCCATTCCGTCGGGACTCCTAAGTATTTGGTGTGGCAGTTAGAAGAGGCAAACCCGATGTGACCAATGATTGCTGCTTTGTCCACATCGGGTACATTCGCACTGAAGAAAACAGATGATTTGTTGATATTCACTTCTTGACCCGTGATGGCCCCATACTCTTTTATAAGATCCAGAATTTTCTCCGCTTCTTGAAGATCAGCCTTACCAAAGATTACATTATCATCTGCAAACAAACAGTGTGTGAGAATTGGGCATCTAGCGTTCAACCTTATACCCTTTAACTGGTTTTGGGAAACTGCTTTATCAATCAGGAAGGTAAGAGCATTAGACATTAGAATGAAGAGGAAAGGAGAGAGAGGGTCTCCCTGTCTGATTCCCCTTGACGGTTTGAACTCCTCTGCTGCTTCCCCATTGAAGAGGATGGAGAAATTGACTGTCCTGATACAAGAGCTGACCCATCTACACCATCTATCATCAAACCCATAATTTTTCAGCAGAGCTTCGAGACAGTCCCAGTCCACCATATCATACGACTTCTTCATGTCCAACTTGAGCATCATATCCCTTCTCCTTCCCCTCTTGTGGTTTTTGAAATGATGGAGGGCCTCGTGGACAATAATGACATTGTCTTGGATAAGCCGGCCACTGGTGAAAGCTGTATGGAGCTCCGAGATTAGATCGGGCGTCCAGATCTTCAAGCGGGTTGCCATAATCTTCGATATAATTTTATATCTAAAATTGCAGCAACTAATGGGTCGAAATTGGCTTATCAACTCTGGGTGGTCTACTTTAGGAATCATGACGATATGTGTATCATTCCATCCATTTGGCATAGTTGCCGTCTCAAAAAACTCCTTAATCTCTCTACAAACCGATTCCCCAATAATATTCCAGAATCTTCTGTAAAACCTACCCGAGAAACCATTCGGGCCTGGAGCCTTTTTTGCTCCCAATGAGAAAACCGCTTTTCTAATTTCCTCTCCTGTCACTGGGGCACAAAGAGCTGCATTCATCTCATCTGTAACCTTTTCTGGGAAGCCGTCCAGGAGGTGGGCAAAGGGGATAAGGTCTCTAGCTCTAAAGAGCTCTTTGTGGAAATCCTGGGCCAAACCTTTTAGCCCATCTTCATCCTCCACCCATTCCCCTCTTTCATCCTTGAGTCTAAGAATTCTATTCTTATGTTTTCCGTGGATCGTGCTAGAGTGGAAAAAGGAGTTATTCTGACCCCCTTTCTGCAGCCAGTTAACTCTTGAGCACTGATTCCAGAACGCCTTCTCCTCCCTCCACATCTTTGACAGTTCCTCGAGTAGACTTTTTTCCTCCTCCACCCTTTCCTGGGTTCTTGGAGGCCTTTGTAGAATATCTAGTCGCTCCAATATATCCTTTTCTCTTTGTAAACTGTTCCTATGAAAGTCTTTTGACCATTCTTTAAGATCTGGTTCGCATTTGGCCAGTTGGTTCGACGATTGCCTTCCTGGATCCCAAGCTCGGACCACTATCTATTTACATTCCTCCTTATCTAACCATCTTTCATCTACTATGAATGGTGTCTTTCTCCTCCTATTCCCTCTATAACAGAGCTCGAGCCTGATCGGGCAATGATCCGATGCCACCATCTTTTCATGGAAAACAGTTGCGTCCCCTTAAGAGGACTCTCCAAGAAGTCGAGCACAACACTCGATCAAGTCGGATTATCGTTGTATTTTCACCGATTTTTTTATTGGTCCAAGTGAAGGGATCACCTTTAAAACCTAGGTCAATAAGTGCATTATCGAAAATGAACCTTTTAAATGGTTCCACATTCTCGTACCTAAGGGGGCATCTCCCCTCCTTCTCACTTTCATAGATAGCAGCATTGAAATCTCCTACAATCACCCAGTTATCCTCCCTACTACTCCGAAGAGAGCTAAGGTGCTCCCAAAATTCCCTTCTACTAACAGCGGTAGAGGGTGCATGAACAAAAGTACAGAAGAACTTCCTACCCATATCGATACTACAATCCATATAATAGCTATCACTACTTAAAATATTAATACTAATACCCGCTTTCCACCAAAGCGCAAAACCCCTAGAAGAGTTAACCGGTTCAACATACTCTTTATTGGGGAAAATTTTGAGACTTCTTCTTTGCTCCTCCATGAATGCTTCATTTTTGCTTGTTTCCATGAGGAAGACAATCGAAGGGTCTAAACGTCTACACAGACGTTTCGCATAACTTCTTGTAAGGGTTGGGCCAAAACCCCTACAGTTCCAACTTACCATACTCATTCTTGAAGAGGTGGCTTCTGGCGAACCACCGCTGCCCTCGTGTCCCTTCCTTGCTCCCCTTCAGATATATCCTCCCTTGCGCTGCTGATCGATTGAGCTCTGTATTTTTTATTCTTCTTCTTCTTGTTTTTTCCCCCAGGCCCTCCCATGAACACCATCCTGCTGGGCCATATGGAATTTCGGCCAACTCATTATCACCACTGCTGGGCCGATCCCTGCTCTTCAGGCCCGTCCCTTTTCTTTTCTTTTCTTTTGACCGCGGCCCATATCCTCTTCCAAAGCCTCTTGTTGGTGCTGGTACAGATACAAATCTGTTGGGCCTAGGTTAGCCAAGCTTTGGGCTCCTCCTGCTCCTCCCACTTGTTTCGTCGGCCCTAGGGTTAGGCCTGTTTCCACCGACTCCTCCTCCGTTCCTGTTTGGTCGGCGCTACCCTGGGACCTTTCTTCTTCCAATCGAAGACTTCCCTCCATAGCCGCCATTATTCTTTCCAGCTCCAAACTCAGATTCCTTGCTCCCATCTCCTCTTTATATCTCCCTCTCTGTCTCCCTTGATTCTCCTGCTCCTCCCTATTTGGATGCCCCAAATCAATCCTCCTGATGGTGAATCCAGGGGGAATTTTTGGACTCCTCTTCGCTTGAACCCCTCCTTCCCGCGCAGCCACGCCGTCGCCTTCTATCCCCCCGCCGCTGATAATCCCCCGACCTCGATCTGTCTCTTCCCCACTGGGCGTTCTGAGACCCTTCCCCTTCTCTGCTGTTTCTGAAGTTGCCCGGTCTGTTTGGAGAGTCTATCCCAGACTTGAGTGATGCGTTGTAAACGTCCGACAGGTAACCCACCCTGTTCCTCTTCCTCTCCTCATCCATTCTCCAGCAAGTCAGCCAGTTATGGCCTATCCGCCCACAAAAATAGCACAGTTCCACGAGCCTCTCATACTTAAATTCAACCACGTCGCAGTACTCCACCCCTGTTTTTTCATCTGTGAATGGGAAATCGAATCCTGTTGGAATCGGCTCCCTGAGATCCACCTCCACCAGAATTCGCAGGAATCTTCTATAACCTTTAAATTCCAGACTCGCTCTGTCGAGATCGAGGAACCCTGGGAAGTAGTGTGTACTTATTGCCACCATATTCTGTTCATTCCTTTGGTCTTGGTGCATCCCATGGATCTGCACCCACATTGCTATCTTCTCCAAAGGTATTTCCTCTGGCTTCCCTCTCCCGTTATATTTCTCTATAGCAGTCAAAGTGTTTGATAAGCTCCATGGTCTGTCTCTCCAGATTCTTTCTCTAATCTCCTGGTTACTGAAGGTGAATATGAAGAGGTTTTGAGTCTCAGTAGGTTGGATGTTTACCTCTCCATACCCACCCCAAGCATAGCGAGCTGCTCCTGCTGCTTTTGCCAGAGCCACCCTGTTTTCAGTCAACATCCTCCCCAGCGGCATGGAGATTCCACGACCACCAGTGGAGATCAGGTTCGGGCCGCCACCTCTTCCTCTTGTTGTTGTTGGGATGACTCCACCAGCATTCCTAGCTTCATTATGCGCCAAACTGTTGGTATCCATTAGGATTAAAGAGGGATTAACTGATTTTCTATGATTTGTGATTTTTGCAAGGGAAACCAGAATATAAAACCGAAGCCAGAGGAGACGGAGGGGATGTTTTCTTTTGGAAGCAAGAAGACTTCTCCTTTTATCCTCGTCATCTTTGTGTCTCTTGCTAGGTCGTTGAACCTTCCACCCTTCTTGATGGCGGTAGATAACAATCCTTTCAAAGCCTTCATTACTCCTCTATTGACTGAGCTTTACCCTGCTCTGCTTCTTCCCTATCGTAGCAGGGGCTCTTGGCTCGAAATCCTCCCTGCCCTGTACTTGAATATTAGTATTATTTTCATAGGATAGCCTCTTCTGTCTTCTATTCCCTTCCTTCCTTTTCTTCTTCTTCTTGATCTGGCAATAAAGCCTACACCACCACCAGTCTGGTGGCTTCCAAACATCACTTCTCTTTATGATTCTCGCTGCACCTCCCCTGTGTTGTCTTGTCTCTTTTCGAATATTTGCTTGTGGAATGCAGCTGTAGCTTCCCTCCCCTTGGTATTCTCTATACTGTAAGATCTCTTTACACAAACCAAGTTGATTCTTTCGAAATCTCTTTGTGAGAGCTGAACGAGTCCCACCCACGGGGACGAAAAAAGAACCGTTGGAAGGTTCAGAGAAAAAGCCAGTTAGAGAGAGATATGAGAGAGACATATCGTTTTTCTAATTAGAAGGTTCGATTAGGGATGAGTCAGAGTGACAATCTTGGACAATCCTTCTAGATACTATTGGATCTTTTTAAATTGATGAATGAGTAGTATCTACTTTTTAAAAAAAAAAAATTGATGAATGAGATTACTCTGATTAATGACATTTTTTGACGAAGTTTTTATTAGAGGTAGGCAACGGATACCCAATCTCATTTGGAGAGAAAATTCCATCCCATATCCCAAACTCGTACGGGTTAACGGGTACTCATTACCCGTACGAGGACGAATAACGGGTACCCACAGATACCCATATCTCTTTAAATCAATAGAGCGTTGCATACATTGCAAGAACAAAGTCAGCCGAGGAAGAAAAAATTTGAAGAGGAACTGGATAAAGCAGGTCGAGATCTTCATCTTACAGAAGTTCATCGAAGATTTGGAACAGAAGAGTTTCACACTGTTGATTGAATATAGAGTTCAGAATTGAAGGGAGAGAATATGGAGCAGCATGTGGAAGAGGAATTCTTGTTGGATAAAATTGAGAAGTATTGAATGGGAGTTCATAATTTTTTTCAGTCACTTCAGTTTGATCCAATCTGTGATCATGAACAAGGATTTGATGAAGGAATTTATAATTTTATTGCTTACGTCTACTATTTGGTTTTCTAAAATGGTCCATCACGAATTCACGATGGTGGTTATTCAATTTCTGGAAATGAAGGAAGAAAAGATGTCATGGCTGATGGTCCAATTTTGCTTCTACTGGTTACTCCCAGGAGGCAAAGAAGCATTTTGACATTCCACAGAAATTGGTAACACTCTATTCATTTTTAACTCAAGTATGAAAATAGATTATAGGGTTAATACGTTAGTTTGGCCCAAACTATACACAAACTTTCTACTTTGACCCGTGGTTTCGGAAATTGTTCTTCTGACCTGAACTATGTACCATTTTTTTTATTTGGCCCGGAGGCGGCTTTGACCGTTAAATTGAACGGTCAACTCTATTGACCGTTATTCAATGGCCAGCTCACTTAGCCACGTCAGCAAGCAGGGAATAAAAAATTATTTTTTGAATTTCTATATTCTTTTTCCTTTCTTATAATAATAATAACAAAAATAACAAAAACAAATTAAAAACCTCAATAATTCCCCATAAGCTCGCATCGTCTCTTCCCCTTCGATCCTTCCTCCGCCTCCCGTCACTATTCCTCCACACCAAGACCCACATTCCCATCGCGCCCGCGACTCTGCCTATGGAACCCGTCCCGATGCTACAACTGGCGTCGCAGCCACTACATGGAGGAGGAGGACTCCTTCGGCTCGGTTTCGACGGCGACGTTTGGTGCGGGGTGGACCAGTTCAACCGGCGGCAGTACTACGGGTGGCACGATTCGCTGGAAGCGCTGTGGATGGGAGCGGAGGACGAGGCCAACAAGACTATGTTCCACGGCATCCTCTAGTGCGCCGTCGGATTCCACCACCTCTTCAACCAGGTCAGTAGAATTGGAATTCGTTCGGTCAAAAAAATCAAAATCAAAATCAATTAGGTCTTTTATCGAATTCATGATAATCAGAACCACAAGGGAGCGAAGATGGAGCTGGGGGAAGGGTTGTGCAAGCTGAATTTCCAGGGAGGGCCGTTCCGCCGATTCGAGGAAGAGATATCAGCGGTGATTTTTGCAGGGTGGAGAAGGACGATGCGAACTGCTGGTTGAACTGGTCCACCAGCGCGCCTAACGTCGCCATCAAAACCGAGCGGGAGGAGTCCTCCTCCTCCGTGTAGTGGCCGCGCCGCCAATTGTAGTATCAGAACTGGTTCTGGAGGCAGAGTCGCGGGCGCGATGGGAAGGTGGGTCTTGGTGTAGAGAAATAGTGACGGGAGGCATAGGAAGGATCGAAGGGGAAGAGAACGATAGGAGCTGATGGGGAATTATTGAGATTTTTAAATTTTTGTTATTATTATTATTATAAGAAAGGAAAAAGAATATAGAAATTTTAAAAATATTTTTTTATTCCCTACTTGCTGACGTGGCTAAGTGAGCTGGCCATTGACTAACGTTCAACTGAGTTGACCATTCAATTTAATGATCAAACCCGCCTCCGGACCTAATAAGAAAGTATAGTACATAGTTCACGCCAGAAAAGCAATTTCCGAAACCACGGGCCAAAGTAGAAAGTTTGTGTATAGTTCTGACCAAACTAAGTTATTAATTAACCCTATATTATATATCAATGTATTTACATGAATAGACGCAGTAGTATCTTTTGGTTTTGGTTTTGGTTTTCGATATAGTAACATATATAATTGGAAGCAAGATGAGAATCATGCATACAACGTTTGCTTATGGATCATAGTGAGTGGCATGGGGAAAAGTATGCTCTTATATGCTTGATTCTGGTAGTACTTTGGCATGAGAGATTTTTAATCTTATTTGCATGAATACGTTAATGCCACTTGGCAATATTGAGGACATGAAGAGCTTGCTTCATTGGGCGGGTAGTATGGGTATCCGTAATACCCAAACGGGTAACCCGTGGGTAACCATTGTAAACTGTCTTGATCCTAAATCTCATAATGTCAAAAAATTACGGGTATTTGAATATCCATAACCCTAAAAAACGGGACGGGTATGGATATACCCAAATACCCGTTTCCCGTGGCCCACCCTATTGTTTACCCTGTAGAATTACTAACCCCTCGTAACTCTCCACTAATACAAAAAATTCCTCTCACTCTAACACTAACAACCGTCTCCCTTTCCTCTTCGTGACACCACCACCATCCCGGCCACCACCAACTCTTTCTCTCTCCTCTCTTCCTCTCTCCTCTACCCCTTTCCTCCATAGTGGTAAAGCCATAAATTTAAACAAGTGGGAGGGACTAAAAATCTACGTTTGGAGAATTCGAACTAGCGAGGGGGGCTAAAGTCTAGCAAACTACTATATTTCTCAAATTTATTACCAAATTTACATGATTTTGTGAATTAAGGGGGGGGTTATAGCCTCCCCTAAGCATAAGGTAGCTCCGCTACTGCCTCTCTGATGCCTCTTCTCTCCCATCTCCGACTTCTTCCCGCCAATGCCTCCTCTTGTCGATGCCCTTGCATCCCTCCCTGCCGAATCGCCTCCCTCCGCCCCGTTCTGTGCCCTCCACCTCCCCTTTCCTCCGCTTCCCACTAACACCGCCACGTGGTTGCCTACGCGAGGTCCCTGCCTCCCCCACCTCCCATGTCTTCATGCCTTTGTTTTTTTTTTTCCAGATCTTTGATTTTTTTTTTTTGTTTCCAAATTTGGCTTGTTTTTGTGTATAGTCGAGTGGTAGTTATTTTTCAGTCCAATGGTAGTTACTAATCAAGTGATAGTGATTTTCGTCCAATGCCTCTCCCTATTCAAGATTCCCCCATAAAATTGGTTTTTTCTCTACTAATATTTCTAGCAAGCACAGAACATCATGCAAATACATACTTACATCCAACAATTCAATCATATAAGTCTTTTTATTAAAAGTTTTGGGGGCGTTCTTTGTTACATCAAAGTGACCATATACAGAAAGAAAGAGTTCAGCCAATGCATGAACAGATTCCAAATCTGTCCATCCAATTTTGCAAAGAAAAACATCCAGCCCCCTCAAGCTAGAACCAACCATTCTCTAACTCCAAAGGAAATTCTCATATTGTAACAATAAATAGCAAAAGATAAGGATATAGTTCTTCTCATTTAAATAGAAGCAAACTTTAAAAATTTCATACATAATCGAGCCCCCAAATCAGCTATTGGGATTAGGGATGACAATGGGTCAGGTTGGGTCAGGTTTTGCCAAGCCCAAACCCATGGGTTTATCCATAAAAAAAAAACCCAGGGTAAAACCCAATGGGTTTGGAAAACTCAAGCCCAACCCAACCCGTTGGATATCTGCGGGTTCATGGGTACCCATTAGGGTGGGCAACGGGACGGGACGGGATACCCGTCCCGTTTTAAACGGGTACCCAGTCCCATTTGGAGGCCAAAGTCCATCCCATATCCCAAACTCATATGGGAAACGGGTACCCATTACCCGTACGGGACGGATAACGGGTACCCATACTACCCATAAATACCCAAAGTTTAAACCACTCAAATTTTAACAAAACTTTAAACTTAACTTGTACTTGCTTAACAATCACAAGACACAAATCATGAACAATCACAACGCATAGAAATAAATCATTCTAAGCACCAAATTATCAAATAAGAAGTTTCATTCAACACAAATCATGAACAATCACAACGCATCAGAATAAATCATTCTAAGCACCAAATTATCAAATAAGAAGTTTCATTTAACAAAAGGGAGTAACTGTTATCTGATTTGATATCTGATCTTCCAACTCCTTTGCATTTCTCTGTTATACATGGATTAAAGACATAGATACTAAGTTTTCTCATGATGGCCAGTTAGTTACCAGGGATGTACCATGGTTCTGCACAAATAGCCGTATCTGAAGCTCTTCAGCATAGGACTGATAGGTAAAAGGCAAAATTTCCTTGTCTGCTAACTGGAGAGCTAGATATCCCCAATTGCTTGCAATTGTGGCGAAGTGGACATTCCCTTTCTATGGATTAGAGTTCGCAAATGGGTAAAACGGGTACCCACATTACCCAAACGGGTATTTGCGGGTAACCCGCGGGTACCCATATTAGGAATGTACAATCCCAAGTCCCATCCGTTTATAATATTACGGGTAATATGGGTACCCGTAACCCTTAAAAAACGGGACGGGTACGGGTATACCCAAATACCCGTTTCCCGTTGCCCACCCCTAGTACCCATAGGTTTTTGTGGTAAAAAAATTTTAAATGACAAGTTCATATCAAAATAAAAGTCCAACATCAATTTCTCCATACAAACTATCCATACATAAAACACGAGTCTAGAAAATTCAAACAAATCACAAATTATTCATACAAATTGTAAATTAGATTGGGGGAAATTAGAATTAAGGTAGGGTTTGGAGAGAGTAGGCGACGAAATAAGTGTGAGCGGGTATCCATGGGTTGGGTATACCTAAACCCAAACCCAACCTAACCCGGTGAAAATGTAACGGGTTTTAACCCAAACCCGGTCCAAAACCCGTCAATATGGATTTTACCCGCGTTAACCGGGTTGGGTCGGGTAGGGTACCCATGGGTTCGGGTTTTGTTGCCATCCCTAATTGGGATCGAGAGGAGACCATATACCTATAAATTGATGGAGTTCCGCCATTAACCACTCTATCCTATGTCGATGCCCACTCCTTCCGAATAAACTATCTTACTTCTCTTTGGAGCTTCTTTATATTTCGTGAAGATGTGAGGTGTGATTGTGTTTGATGAATAAGAGAGGAATGGAGATTGTGCATAGAAGTATGAAACTCAAAGGTAAAGTGGAAAATGTATGATAAAAAAACAAAGTTTATTTTCTGATCTACAATAAAATACTAAGAACAGAGTTTGAACAAAAATACAATAACCCGACATTTGTAGAATACTAACTCCCATATTATATCTTCAACAACACATTTTTGGTGCTCTCAAAGTATATACCCCAAATGCCACATTCATTTTATTCCCATCTAAACATGATATTTGACGCCAAATATCGATTATTACAAATGACTCATTAGTTCCACACTTCCACTGAATCTGACAAGTGACAAATATGTGATGTAGTATCGAGTGATAACTATCCTAGGAGATCCTAGGGTCGTATTCCATAGGGTCTTTTAATAGTAACTAGTCAAACCTAACCTAGATGTCTTCAAATATGCAATGCAAGAAAGTAAATGAAGTGGGTTGAGGTACCCAAAGATGTCGAATTGCTAATATGCTAATGCAAGTGAACAAAGCAAACAAGAATGCAAGCAAGTAAATGAAGGTTTAGGTAGTGTTTTCTAGATGGTCGTGCATGCTTACTCATCAATGAGATGCTTCTATGTGTCATCTATTATGGTTCCTCTAAGACAACTCTCTTCGCATGCATGCATGCATGCGCCTCTTGCAATGGAGATTTGACTAGCTAATGCGTGCTTTTGCTTCATGCCATCACCTAATCAATGAAGAACAAGGAAGTTAAAATAGTAAATGATTAATTGTGGGCTTCTATGAACCATAATTGATGGTCAATCGATTATCTAAGAATCATGCATCATCCTTAGTCATGCATAGAAGGGTAGTTGGCCTCCTATACACGCCTCAAGAGGATGCCTACTACACGATATTAGTTTCCTTGTCTCCATGACAGTAGTATAAACAATGCAAATAGTAACATTCATTATAGATTCACACGCATAGAATGATTAAAGCATAATATGGAATGAATCATCGTTGATCGTACACAAGAGATTATTAAAGCATCGTAAATACAATAAAGCATCTAAAGACATAGACATTGATGATTAGAGGTGGAAATTAGGCGGGTTGGGTTACCCACTCCACGTTACGTGGTTACTACATCCACAAAATCATAGTTATTCTATCCACAATCCACACCATAGTAACCACTATCCACTGCATTTTGGTGCAGGTTGGATGTGGTTATCCGCAAAAATTCATCTTTGCAACATGGAGTTGTGGCCACCATCAACGAATCCTTGGTTCACGACATGACTATAGTGATATACTTTTGTGTTTTCATGGAGATGCAATTTTATATATCTTACTCAATGTGAGGATTTTGTCTTTTTGATTTCGTATTCTACCTTTGCGTCGGAGAGAGAAACAGACTATTGTTTTTTGTTTACAAAATGTAAATTAATCTTACATGATACACCCTAGACATTGAGTTATTTTAGCCTTTTATGAAACTAGTCATTACTCCTTATATCATAAATTATTAATAATAAGAATGATGGACTTAAACTAAAAGAAAAGTTTGTTATATTGATGTGGGTATAGTGGATTTTGTGGATTAACCGCTGTGGTTAGTGGTTAACCACACAAGTTAGGAGTTTGCTAACCACACTCAACCCACTACCCAAAAATTGTGGGTGTGGTGAACCACAACGTGTGAGGTTTGGTGCAGTTTCAGTAGCAATTTGCCTCTTCTCTATGGATTGCTACTCGTGCCCAGTGGGGCAGAGTGCTGGTAAAGGTGTTGTACAAAAGCTATAGTCTAGCCTCCTATTTAAACTAGTTACAAAATGGGGTTTTCTATTCTTTTTCCTCCTAAAGTTGACCAAATCCTTCCTTATCTGACTTGAACTTGGTTTCTTTCGACTTGTGGATGAAGTAACTTCTTCAGAAAGTTTTCTAGAGGTCTTAGAACTAGCGCCAATGGGTAGTAATGTTGGGCCGCAACTAATTTTCTTCCTGCAATGGATTGCTTTTGGGCCAAGTAACTCCTCCTCTAATTTGTAGAGCTTTGACTAGGGTTGCCGGTTTGGTTCGGGTAACCAAACCAATACCCAAAATACCTGAAAAACCTGAAATTGATATCCTTTGAAAACCGAACCTGAAACCGATAAGAGCTTTTCGGTTTCAGGTAAGGCAAAACCAAAACCCGAAAACCAAAACACACTATGGAATATGACACGTAGACATGGCTTCAAATTTTTAGCTTAACCCGAAACCGAAAAACAAAAAATGAAACCCAAAATAAAAAATCCAAACCCGAAACAAATCCGAATTCGAAAACCCAAAATGATATATTACCAGTTTAGGTTCGGTTAAAACCGAAAGATTGAGTCCAAATTGAAACCCCTAGCTTTGACTAGTAGTAAAATATCCCGTCTGCCTTGGTCAAACCCGAAACTGATATCCTTTGAAACCCAAACCCGAAACCGATAAATATTTTTTGGTTTCGGGTTAGGCAAAACTAAAACCTGAAACCAAAATCCACTAGAATATGACGCGTTGACATGGCTTCAAATTTTTAGCTAAACCTGAAACCGAAAATGAAGCCCGAAAACCGAAAATCTTAACCCAAAACAAAACCTAAACCAAAAATCCGAAATGAAATCTTACCGGTTCGGGTTTGGTTAAAACCAAAACCAATTTAACACCCCTAGCTTTAACTAGTAGGAAAACCACTCATCGGCCTTGGTCAAAGTAGGGCCTACTGCACTACTAAATTTGCTTGTTTTGGCCATAAAGTGAGCATTCGATGTCCAAAGCCATATTTGTTTGTGCCCATGACTTTGTATTCTTGTCCTCCTTCTAATTCATTAAGTCCAATGTTATCATAACCGAACCGGAGCACGACCCTGTAATGTTGAACAACTC